TCAGTTCAAATTATTAATCTTAAAAATGCTAATCTGAATCTGAACTGAATCGCAGACTGGTAAAAATCTGAACTGAACTGGAATTTTCAGATTAATTTAAAATTACAGTTCGATTATATAAAAAATCTGCAATTTATATGCAACTTTAGGAAAATTGCAAAAAATCGCGAATTTCTCTTTGAGGTTTGTGAAATTCGAAGAAAAATCACAATTTTTTGCGACTCTTCAAGAGTTTTATGATAATTTTGCAAAATTCTAAAAGAAATCACAAAAAATTGTGATTCTCTAAGAGTTTCGCTAAATTTTTGTGATCCTCTTAGAGAATTCACAAATTTTGCGATCCTCCAAGAGTTTCGCATATAATTGAACTGAACTTTTAGATTAATCTAAAATTATCAGTTCAATTCAGATTTTTTTCAGTTCAGATTAGAATTATAATTCGAAAAAAATCTGAACTGAACTGAAAATTTTTGGATCGATTTTTATGCAATCTTAAACTAAACCGATCTGAAAAATCTTCAGATTAATCTGAACTGTTCAGAGCTTTACCCTAAGATAAATATCAAGAATTTTGCAATGCATATGCATATTACAAACAAGCAACACTTTGTAATTATAAACCAAATCATCAAATAATAATGAAAAAATATATAAAAGCTTGAAAAGAAGTCAAAAATAATGATACTGCCTTATTGAGAATAAAATTTAGGAATATTATGACACTATACCTTCCACTATTCACTCTCATCAAAGAATTTTTATGCCACGTGATTCAACTAATAGCTCTTGTCAAACTTCTATTTCAAGAACTCCAAATATTTCAAGACAGTTTGTCAGATTTATTGATATTACAACATTATCACTAAATGTCAAATCACAACATATTGCAGCTGAAAAAATCAATTTAACTGCAAAAAGCATAGCTGAATATTAACAAATGATAGAGATTGCTACAAATAACTCAATGAAAATTACATTATCATCTAAGATAATTGAAAAACAAAAAAATATATCAATACAAAATGCACAACTAATAAAGTTAAAACGTCATGCTGAAGCTTAATTAAGGTTAGCAGCAAAAAAATAGAAGTTGCTAGAAGAGGGTATTGTAAAAAAATATAATACTTTAGAAAGACCATCTGTAGCTATGAAAGAACCAGATCTATGAGATAAAATCTATGACAGTATTAAGTTTGGAGCTGCCCATGTTAAACAAAGAAAAGTAGTCATAAAAGTTAGAACCATAAAGCATCTACGTGAAACTCTAGAAGAAAAATATAATACTTATCTATTTCGTCAATGCTTATCAACTTATCTTTAACTCTGAAATCAGTGTATCTTTGCTGCACATCATCATCATCATCCAGTAAAGGTTAGTCTTGCCTCTGTATTACAGACAGAAATGAAATCTCATATTGATGAACATTTCTATCTAGCTTCTGTCAAAGTTGCAAGAGTATTTGCTAAAGTTTTTGCTGATGAGTTGATTATTATCTCTCAAGATTATAAGGCAAAGGTCAGATTAGGCATTTCTGTGATTAATCGCATATTTAAAATAATCCAGTCAGTTAATGAACCAGTAACTATTAAAAATCACGATTTTTCAATTAGTTTAAAAATAAAACTTATACTTTCCGTTTATCTAGTCATTAATCCAGCTAATTTGAGTAATACCCTTTATACTGATCAGCTTTTCATATTCATTAGGCCAGAATATTTCATTGAAACTTCATCAAAAACCCAGATAGCAGATTTAGAAAGTATCGTTTAGAATGAAGAGTTTTCCATTACCCTAAAGAAAGAAGATAAAGTTAGACCTATTTGGATCTTTTTTTGTTAATGGTGAACTTGATGAGAACCTGAAATATATGAAAAATATTATTTAATATGCTCATCTTTTCTATACTTTTGATCTGAACTACTTGATAATTCATACTCATGCTTCAGGTTAAAGTGCATATAATCCAGTTGAACGCAGTATAATTTCCTTGTCTGAAAAACTTGCTGATATCACTCTACCTATAGGAAAATTCAGATCACATCTAAATAGTCAAGAGAATGCAGTAGATGATGAATTAACACAACAGAATTTTGAATATTTGGAAAAAAATTACGTGATATATGAAAAAGGAATGACATACATGGGAAACCTATAATGGTGGAATATATTGATCAGGAAAGACATCTGTTCAATGATTTGGAGTCTTCAATATTGTGGAAGTGGATTGAAGACTATATGCAAATTTACTGCTATTTACTAGATATAAGAAAATGCAAAAATAATAAATGCTGTAGTGAATATAGAGCTTCAGATGCTGCTATCCTTTTGAATGAGAATAATGGATTCCTTCCTCTAACTACAAAAGGAAAAGATAGTTATTTCATCAATCTAATTCACACTCTTCAATATCACAATAAATTCAAAATTTTAGAGTACGATAGTTGTTGCCCTTCAATTTCACGAGAATTACATCAGCGTCTATGTTGTAGCATATATGGCAAATACTTTCCAACCCTCAAATTCATAGGTGACCATAAACGTAATGTACATTCTAAATGTCGCAATAAGAAATCAAAAAGCCCTTAGAAATGAACTAACAAAATAGAAATGAGTTGTATGCTTATTCCATTCAATCTAAATTTTAACGTCACTGAAGATATAGTTCAAAGCAAAGATATGGGACAAGTTGAACAAGATCCTCACGAAGTTCAGTCAGATGAAGATTAAAAAAAGAAAAAGTTAGCTTTTATATTAGTTTTATGTAATGATATAATAACATCAGAAACTAAAATATTCTTACATATAATATGTGACTTCATCCATTATGTTGTGAAATAAAATATAAGAATTGAATAAATCTGAGGTAACTGCAAAATTTCACTGGCTGTTGTAAATTTAAAAATTTCGTCTAATTAGATAGGATTTTAACTATGCTGATCACATGCTGATCGGTCAGAATCATTCAATTTTCATTATTAGTAGTTTATATTGTAAATTCTAATTAGCATTATAAGTGTTTGGCCAAAATTTCATCCAATCAGATGGATTTTTAACTATACTTATGTGATTTTTGCTAATATTTTAGCCAAATCTAACTGACCAATCATTTTATATTAATTATATTACGTGACTATAACTACCTGATATAAAGATCTGACCTTACCTCTCTTTTAAATCAGCTGATTTCTGACATATCCCTAAAATAAATTACTATTTAGCATTGATTATAAATGAATTGGAATTACTTTGAGACAAATTTATAATAGATAAAATATATGAACATCCTAAAGGAAAGAATATTTGTGCAGCTTTAATTCTTATTTCATATGATATACTGGCTGCTAGAAAAATATGTAGACATATTTTAGCCTTAATTAGAACTTCAAATCAGGTCAGATCGACCTGTTTACTTGATCTGAACTGACCTGAAAATTCTGGCCAGATCAATAGATTTTTAGGTTGATGTCAGATTGGGTCAACAGGTCAAACTGAACTGACCTGACCTGATAAAAATTCAGGTCAACCAATCATTCTTCTTGAATAATTTATTATCATTAAATTAAAAATAACAAAGTTTATTAAATAAATTAATGATTGTTTATTATATTATTATTTATATTAAATATTTTTTGATATTATTTAATGAATAAATAAGAAAATTTTTTTTTTTTTTAAGTGCAGTAGTTTCGCATGATCTTTATTAAATTCAAAATACAAATAATAAGGTTAAAATATACAAATTTAAGAAAATACAAAAATCTCTATTTAAACTAAACTAAATTAAGACTGACCCTGCACTTTCCCAGAATCTATTTCTAACCTAAGCTAAAAATATTATATTCCAGTAACAAACTAAATGAGAAAGGGCTTGGCCATTACAGTACTAAAAATCCAACCAGTGAGATTTGTATCAGACCATTTTATTAACTGAGTCATTAAAGTATGTGAAAGGAGTAAAGCTTATAATGTAATATTCTGTTACAATGGTATTTTTTATTTTTGTTTTTAAGTTGATGTTATGAGATTTTTTGAATACAACTTGTTAGAAACACCGTTCAACTCATATTGCCTGTGTTTGTTCAAAGAGGTGATGTATAAAGGCTGAAAGTGTCACGTAGGTAAGGTATCCCATAATATTGTAAATAAATGTATATAATATTTGGAGAATCATTCCTTTTATGAAGGTGGGTAGGTAGGGGAAGCATTCAGTAGACATATGCCATATGTGTAAATTAAAGATGTTCATGGTTGAACCATTATTTTGAATTAAGTCTTGTAAGACTTGTTGTAAGTTTTGTATGATATTTTTCATTTGGATCTAAGTAATTAGATATTCCTAAACATGAGAGAAGGTTTCGTTAGCACATTCATATTTGACACAAAGTCATGTTGAATTGAAAATACTAGGGTGTCTTTCTTTTAAAGTTTCTATGGTAGAAAGCATTTCTAAGAGTCTTTAGATCTTTTTCTTACGAACTGCTGAGGCTTCATATGATGTATGTGCTGTAGTAATATTATCATTAATATAAAAACATGTGGCAGTCCAGTTAATGTTCAAATGTTGGTACTTGCTGATTACATGAAGATGTCTTATCTTGTCATACATTGTGGATTGTGTAATATTTTTTATAAAGAGTCAGATGGGTGTCGAGATCTTTAAATCTTCATATTTGTAGTAGTAATAGTCGCTATAAGAGAGATCAAACCTAAATGCTGCTATCCTGTAGGAGTTCTTAGCAAAATAATCAACTTTGTCATTTAACGTGTCTTCTAAATGTGCTTTGACTTTACAAAGATGTATGTTGAGGTGCTATGATTTGATAATCTCAAAGAGGCTCAACCATATCGAAAAATTATTAATCTTAAACAGTGGTCTAGTAGACAGAGAAAACATAAAATTCTTTTGAAATTGTGAAATTGTCTGATCATAACTTGTGAATCAGTCATAATAGTAATATGACTATTTCGTAAGGCAATGAGGATAGTAGTAAAAATTGCTGCAAGCTCCGCTACTAATAATAAGAAAAATGTAGTAACTAATATAGATGAAAAGGAGACCATAAGTGAACTTAGATTTGTTTGCAACTAAGCCATACCCATTCTCATAGAAGAAATGCCTAAGCTTGTAAGAGAGCCATCTGTATAGAATTCTAAATGTGTAGCAGCAGAAAACTATTGCAAAAGAGTTAGTAGGTCTTGACTATGCAGTAATATAATAAACTTTGATATTACTGAGGGAAGTACAAGACAGTAAAATTCAATCAGATATGACCGAGAGAGATTATTATAAGAACGATTAAAAGTGTAAAGAGTAATATCCTTCATGAGTATTGAAGACCAAGCGTTAACGTATTGCTTTCAAATATTATTGAGTACTAAATTCACACAGAATTTGAGGGGCGTGGTTACTATGCAATTGTATTTTTTAAGTATAGGGAAGTTATTCTTAAATAAAGTAAGTCTATTGAGTGAACATCCATTATATTAGTGCAAAGTTGTTTCAGTAGTGTGGGTATATGTATAATGAATAACATCAGCAAAACTGTCTGCTATTTTCAGAACATGACTTATTATTATTGTATTGGCTTTGTAGTTCCAATATGTAATGAATAAACAGACTATTATTTCATTTTGCAGAGGTAACAATGGGAATCCATAAGTATTGTTTTATCTGTACATTATATGTTCAGACAAAGAATTAAGCTTGTCAACATTAAGTGCGCTCTTAACTTTGAGATACCATTTTAAAAGTGGCCCTTTTCTGAAAATTAATGATAAAT